AAAATAGCGATAAAGCGCTCAAACTTATAAGGGATGTAGGGGGTCGGGCAGGAACACTGTTGGTGGATGGCAGGAATTGATAACAGCCGATAAGATATCATGAGGGCTCTTAGAAAGCGAGGGTCACCAAATTCATAACACCGGCCACAGCAACGACGAGACATTGGTTCAAAGAAGTAATATGGGGGGCAGGATGAAAACTTTATTGGTGGGTGGCAGGAATTGATAACAGCCGATAAGATATCATAAGGGCTCTTAGAAAGCGAGGGTCACCAAATTCATAACACCGGCCACAGCAACGACGAGACATTGGTTCCAAGAAGTAATATAGGGGGCAGTATGGGAACATGGTGGTGGCAATTGATAACAGCTGATAAGATAGCCAGGAAAATTCACAGCAGAGTCATAGCAACACTGGGAACTGCTCCAGCAAGTAATTCAGAGGTACTTAGGGAACATTAAAGGTGGGAGATAAATTCTGACAGTGTCCGACGAGGGCTTTTGGGAGTCCGTATCTGCTCACATCACCGTAGCCAAAGAATGAATGGTCAAGATGTTTTCCCTTAGCAAAATCCCTCAGTTTAGCGGTCGGAATTGCTTCCACCGCTAAACGCTCGAGTTCCCCGAAAAAAGGATGTTTGGAGTTGTTGCCCAGTGAGGAATGATAAGAGCCCCTATGATTTCAATACCATCGGAATCCTTCCAACCGCTATGCTGTCCGATTTCCAACGAATGGTGATTTTAGAAATATGATATGAGCCTAACATTGGCAAGTGTTCATTAAAAGGGAGAAACATGATGAAATGGGCCGTTTTGGAAACATAGGAATTAGGCTAAGTGTTACTGCTCAGCACAGAAATCCTGTCAAGTATCAGTAACATAGGTTTAACCCTGCGCGCAGAAATGCGCGTCAGCCAGACTGGTACGGAGACAATGTGGTAATCTTCATTTTCTACTAACCGGTCTGGTGTGGTGAATTCCGCGTAAACGGTGGAACGACTGGTGAGTCTGTTTCTTGCGGTATTGGCGTCTTCTCGAGGGGTTCCTGACCCTACGTCGGAACCGCTAGATTCGACGAGGCGCTTGGTGGGGTAGGTTGCGAATCTAAAACTTGAAACATGTTCAAGGCTTCTGAAGACGACGATTGAGTCGAAACGTTAGGCCAATTAATAAATGTTCCACCTATCAACCTCGTAAGGCACAAGAACAACTGAAAGACTTACAACTAAGATGCCGAGGTTGCAAGAAGAGAGAAGGCAGAGAATGTTTCGACTATTTTTTGCCCATGGACCAATTTACTTGTGTGCCAACCCAATACTAGTCAACTTCATAAAGAACAACCAACCGGTTACTCGCGACCATATCTTGCTGCTGCGCGCATGCATTTGCGTGAGTCCTTTCCTAACAGATCTCTACACTGTAGTAAAAGGTATATTGAGTTGCGGTCAAAACTATTCGTCGGAAAGGTTTTTCATGCATCACTTTTTTCCTGTCCAGCGATTTCGTTACCAGTTTCTACATTTTGCTTTCTCAATGTTGCAACAAATAGTCGATGATGTACTTCGAAGAACGAACATCTATCTCGATCTGACCCTTGAGACATGTTCAGACCCTTGCAGACAACGATTCAGTGAGAAAGGGTGTGCTCTGTTGAATGGCTTAGTAATCTCGTGAAGGCACTAATTAAGCTAGCGACATGGCTACACTGGACTACGCACGTATTTCATAGCAAAAATGCTTATATGTATCAAGGGGGCTGCCATGAGGCTCACATTTTTGGTGCATTCAAAAAGCTCGTCGACACTTTTGGATACCGAAACAGGGTG